AGGCTATAAACAAGTTACAGACTTTGATGGCAACGTTAAAGATTCTGATGCTAATAATGAAAACTTTGACGCCAATGCTGAGGATTTCGACGCCAACAATTTTGATTTTGACGACAACGCTGAAGATTTTGACACACAAGCAAAAGATATTGGCGCCAACGATGCTGATTTTTATGCTAAATCTGAAGATTTCGACACTTTTGGCTTTTCTTTCGGCAAAGAAAACCACAAATACGCCGTTGAAAATAAAGCCGCGGAGAGAAATGAAAAGTTGTTCATATGATTCTGTAGGGGATTGGAATTTGCGGCGAAGTACAGAACGAATACGTGGATGTTGTAAAATTTTGACTAAACGAAAATATTCAACTGTAGAACGTTGAATGATGAATGACCTCCGGCATGAAATATTACCGTATGGGCTGTCAGACTTCAGACTTATTGAAGGCTTCAGATGTATGATTCTTTTTTTAGTTCAGATTAAAGATTTCTCACCTATATTATCTTTCTTTGCATCTATATGAATAATGTTGACTTCGAAGACGCCAAATTAAGTGAGACCGTGTGTTGTATGACTCCACTAAAATTACGCGTCTGTTGGAAATGATTATGTCAGTGGAGTGACAATTCAGCAGCAATTTTAGCAATCTGTTGCATCATGGAGATTCAACAAAGTATGAATTATATATTATCGGTCTTTATTGCATGGGTTAATTACTAATTAGGCTAGCGACGGTGCAGGTGTAAAATAATTAACATATTTTCCCAGTATGGAGGAGATCTATGCTCATTTGCGGCTTTTATTGGAAAATTACACAATTAGAAAACGATTAAACCCACATGCGGGAAATTATTCCAGGCAGTGCGCAGTTGTAAAATTGCTAAGATTCTCAAAATCGCTTGTAGACCCAACTTCATTAATGACAGTAATCGGTTACTTAAGTAATTCAGAAAGTCCAAAAGCACATACCTGAAATTATTACAGCAACAAACGTTGAATGAAATATCCAATCCGAAAAGTAATTAATGAATTTTTATGTTTGGGAGAACTTTTGAGTTTAATTTTAAACGTTATGAATACTAATATTCTGGTTTAGAAACGGCTGAACTGTTACTCGTAAAATTAGAACAGACTTTTCGCCGCTTTAAAGTGAATAAATTTCTAGGCCTGGGAGAACGATCGAGTTGAATTTAAAGAGCTGTGAAGACTAATTCTATTTTTAGAAACGGCTGAACTGATAATGGTGCAATTATTACAGACTTTTTGCCGTTTTAAAGTGAATAAACTTTTAGGTTTTGGAGAACTTTCGAGCTGAATAATTTCAAAATGTTCTGAATACTAATTCTATTATTGAAACGGCTGAGCTGATACTCGTGAACTTATAACAGTCCTTTCGCAGCTTATAAGTGAATAAATATCTTGGTTTGGGAGATTTTTTGAGTTAGATTTAAAAAGTTATGAAAACTAATTCTATTTTAGAAAAGGCAGAAATGATACTCGTGTAACAGACTTTTAGCCGCTTTAAAATGAATAAATTTCTAGGTTAGGGAGTACTTCCAAGTTGAATTTAAAAAGTTATGAATGCTAATTCTAATTTAGAAACTGCTGAATTTATACTCGTGAAATTATAACAGACTTTTTGCCGTTTTAGAGTGAACAAATAGCTAGGTTTGGGTGAAATTTCGAGTTTGATTTAAAAAGTTATGAATATTAATTCTAATTTAGAAACTGCTGAATTTATACTCGTGAAATTATAACAGACTTTTTGCCGTTTTAGAGTGAACAAATACCTAGGTTTGGGAGAATTATCAAGTTGAACTCAAAAATTTATTGATACTTATTCTATTTCATCAACGGCTGAACTGACACTCATGACTACAGCCACTGCGCTGTAATAAATTTGACACGTTTCTCGACTGTTATTGAGATCAAAGCTCGTTTCCGGCACTTACCTGTAAATGAACTAATTTCATTCGCAGTAGTTGTTGTTTATAGTGCGAAATTTCAAATAAAAATAGTTCTTTTCACATAACATATAAATAAATAGATGTAGAACATTTATTATTAACCAAAACGTAAGCCTTCTACTGTTATATATGTAGAGAAATTCCTGGTTTACATTGCTAGCTAATTTTAAATATATAGCAATATAAAACGAAATTGAAAAAACCTACGTTTTCACAAAAAACTTTTACTTTCAAGAAAAAAACACGTGAAAATTTTCATAGCCACTGCACAGATGTAAATTTAGAATATTTCTTGAGTTTGGTTGGAGATTTGTTGCGTACGGAGTGCAGAAAACACTCATGTACGCACACTATACAAAGGGGAGCGCAGCCGTGCACCACCAATTTTGTGCACCAATAAGCCCTGAATCGAACGCCTTAGTTTCAGATAGCATAGTTCTGTTCCAAAATTTATCGTCCTTCGACAAGTGGCAGTTCGACCGAGGGCTGGTTCGACCCACGGCCTAGATACGGACGGCTTGAAGTGTTGAAGGCTACGTTCCGGAAGGCAGGAATCATGATGGTCCATTACTTCCAAGGCAGTGGTGGTCTTCGGCAGGCGACCCATACAAAGTATCCACTTCGTGGAGGGCTGGCTTCTTGCCGTTCTTTACTTCCGAAATGGTCTGAACTGTCGTTTTCAGCTGCCCAGTCCATGATTCTATCTTTCTTCATCTTTGGTAACTGAATTTTTCAATCAAAGAATCTTTAGAATTCAATGGTTTTGAAATACAAAAATACGTATTCCACTGAAAATTTCCAATAAACTCCAATGATTTCTACTGACAATCTACCATGTAGCATGTCATTCAGCAGGTCGCATACGTTGATCGTTGGTGACTTTAACCATCCAGAAATAGATTGAGCAGATGAATCTTTTCCAAGAGATGAGAATCACCCAGCATCCCTGTTCATGGAGTCTGCGAGACTCATTTTTAATCCAAAACATCACCAAGCCAACTCATTTTAGGGGTAAACAGACCCCAAATATTCTAGATCTTGTCTTTACTAGTGAAGAATCAATGATAGATGAGCTTCGCCACGAGGCCCAGTTGGGCAAAAGCCACCACCAATCATTGTTTTTCAGTATTAAGTGCTGTGCAGAAAAAACGCTTCGGAAGCGTGAACGTTTGAACTTTGCGAAATGCGACTATGATAAACTCCGTGAAGCGGTGAATGCGGCGAATATTTCGGACTGTATTAAGGACATGAATGTGGCTGATTCATGGTCGTTTCTCAAAGACACGGTTATGTCAGCAGTAGATACTTGTGTACCTAAGATTACGCTTGGTGGATTCAAAAAGTCCTAGTGGATGAACAGTGCAGTTAAGGCTCAGCTAAAGACCAAGAAATAAGCCTACAAGCGATATTTACGAACTCGCAGCGATTCTGATTATAACCTGTATGCAAGAGCCCGAAATCAAGCTAAAAAAGCTTGTCGCACAGTAATCCCTCACTCACTCACTCACTCACTCGCACTGCAGTGAAAAACTTCGAAAAAAATATTGCTAAAAATGCAACAAAAGAATCCGAAAGCTTTCTTTTTGTACGCTAGTTCGAAGTGTAAGTCAAAGGACGGTATTTCTGATTTGAAAGTAGACCAACGAAAGATTTCCTCCGATGAGGGCAAGGCAAACGTTCTTAATCAGTTCTTCAGCAGTGTGTTCACAGATGAGGACTTGAACAGTATTCCAGATATTGAGGAGCGCCCAGTCAGCTCGAAGTTAACAGGTTTTGAAATACACGAAGAAGAGGTTCTCATGCGCCTGGTAGCTCAAAATCCCAACAAGTCATGTGGACCAGACGGCTTCCATCCCAGATTGCTCAAAGAATTAGCAACCGTTATGGCCGGCACATTTGCAGTATTCTTTCAAAAAACCTTGAACGAAGGAACTTTGCCGTACGACTGGAAAGAAGCTCAACTAACGCCATTGTTCAAAAAGGTGACAAAAGCAGCCCCGGCTACTATCGCCCTGTCAGTCTGACAAGTGTTGTTTGTAAGCTAATGGAATCTGTTGTGAGGGACAGGATCATCGATCACTTGACTGCTTACTATCTCCTATCAGATTGTCAACATGGTTTTATTGCCGGTAGATCCTGCACCACTAACTTATTATTTACGTTGAACGAGTGGACTCGCCTGCTGGACGAAAGGGAACCAGTGGATGCATTATAACTCGATTTTGCCAAGGCATTTGACAGTGTTCCGCATGAGCGGCTGTTACGTAAAATGAAGTCTTTGGGAATTGAGGGAAACGTACTCCAACGGATCAGAGATTTTCTAGTAGATAGACGACAACGTGTCAGTATTAATTAACGGAACCGTGTCAGACTGGGCATCAGTGCGCAGTGGCGTGCCACAAGGGAGCGTTCTTGGGCCTATTTTGTTCGTTGCTTTTATAAACGATCTGCCAGAAAATGGTTTATACAAGGTCCCCGAAGGATTACTAGAATTTGAAACAAGAATCAACACCAGGGGCCACAGCTATAAACTAAAAAAACTGCGCTGCAACTTCTCAACGCGAAAAAATTTCTTCTCGCTTCGAATCACCGACATGTGGAACAGCCTCCCCGATGACATCGTTGACGCTCCGAGTATGAACGCGTTCATGAACAGACTAGATAAAGCTATTGAAAAATATATGTTCATATTTGAAATGCCTAGCACCATATCGAACCCGGTGTAAGTCGAGTAGCTATTTTAAACTTTCGTATCCGGTCAAATGACACGATTTTAGATCTTCTGTGAACATGGCATGAAAAGGAAAAGAATCGGCGACAGGCCACATCAGGCCTACACTGCAGCGCCGAGATCACTATGTCATGTTATGTCGACGTTTCAATGAATGATCTCGGTAAAACGCTGTTTTTTTTTTCGCGACATTTTATACCGGGTGTGAAGGCCTTCGTTAATTCTTTCTGAGATGACAGTAAACTTTGCATGGTACGCAGTATTCGTCATACGCATTCACTTACTGAACTGCTTTACGATTTAATCATTCATTTTGATTCAAGCCCATGAGAAGTGCCGCTGGGATAGACCTCCGTGACAGTGACTTCTGCGTTAGATCAGCTGATAATAGCAAACAATAACAAACGGTCGAAGGTCGTGGACTCGTGGTATCTTGTAAGTTTGTAACCAGCATTCACAGCGACGACACGTGGGTGGGTGAGGGTGAGAATCAAGTGTAAAATGAATTAAGTTTATTGTATATATTAGAAATTACACAATTTTCGCTTGATTGATTAGGTAATTACGCTATGCGTGACATTAATCATCAAATGTTTCACAGGTGTCAGGACTCTGTGACCGTCAACCTCACGAGATTACGTCGTTACGAGAACTGTATCTGTACGGGTGTACCGACTACCGTGTACCACTTCACTTGTACGTCAGTACGTGGATCTACCAACTACGTTGAATGTGCCACCATGGCATATTGTTCATGGTTTAAAGATGAAGAATATCGGGATCATTTTGAGTCAGGTTAGTGACACGACTGTCACGACACAGTGACACTGACACTTAATATTATAATTCACAACAGTCAAGAAGAATTATGCTGAATCGTGATCAGATCATTAGATGTAAATTGTATTTGGCCAATATGGGAAATCTGAAATGCCAGCTGTGTTCTGAGACTCTGACTCTGAGTGACCTGACATGACTGATGAGTGATGACACTTGTTGTAGTTGTTGACACTTGACAGGCCAGCTTGATTGACACTTCCTTGTTTTTTTTAAAGCATGGAGTGAAAGTGAATGTAGCCTATGCCTTATTCACTGATATGATTGTGTTAAAGATTTTGTTTCCTGATTGCATAATTTTGCATTGCAAGAAAGAGTTGAAATATATTCAAATTAATATTTTAGGCATTCTTCAGGATTAGTGGCAATTTTTTGGCTTAAAAACATGCAATGGAGATAATGAATGGAGTTTGAAGCTAACAGACATATTAATATGTACTCGGAAACAAGGCCAAGCCAGTCTGACGGTCTGACCATGAGCTCATTTCTTCAGTTCAGTGCCAACACAGTCAACACTACTACCTATGTTATGTTATTATATTATGACTGATTTTTAGCCATTCCCAATCCCAAATGTGCATTTCTGCATAATTAGGCTATAAAATTTCAAATTCAGCCAAGTTGTGACTTTTAAGACATATTTTCTTAGTAAAAGTTTGATGCCTGAAATTTGCACTATAGAATAATAATAAACTACAATCATGATGCCTTTATAACTTTATTGGTGAGAAAAATCATAAATATTTGCTCAGGTAGATTTTTCTTGCTTGGAAAAGTTCAGACCAATGTTTAAATGTATGTTATTCAGGCCAATATATTTGGCACTCCTAATGCACCTTCTTGCCCATGAGAGCAGGACCAATGGGCACTCTGGACAGTTTGTTTAAATTCAGAGATCTTTTTTTGTCTTCACTAGTATAAAGAAACATTTCAGTCAAAAATTCTATGAGGTCAACTGGTCAAGTCTAAGATAATATAGTTCTGTCCATTAATCTCATAGATCAAAATGATACAGACACAATTTTGTGTTTGAATGTGCAAGCAGCAAGCTTAGTGATGGGCCTGACATTTAATGGATAGCAAGCTTAGTGATGGGCCTGACATTTAATGGATGTGGAACTGTATGGAATTTAGGAGGGATAATATGTGAAAATCAGATCATGTTTATATCTTAATGTAATGGAAGATCAGAAGGTAAAAATTACTCTAATAGCTCAGCTAATATTTTTGGATCAAGCAACTGACCCAGGTTGATCAATAATGAATATGCATATAAACCATTATTTCTATAATTTTAAGACTAGCATTAGGGCTGTTTTGAATTCTATAAATGGTGATTTATATATTAAATATATATTTCACTGAATCATCTACTTGATCTACAATTATCCACTTTGTTATGATAGGATGATCCACCATCCAATTTCCAGTTTTTACAATTTTATACATCATAAGGATTAAGGACCTTGTGCTAGCTTGAATAAAATATGTTCTTCAATTTAGCTTTGTTTTCTACTTAGGCATATCTTTACACATTCTTTCTTAAAGTTGGTGTTGTTGTTCCTTGGTCTCACTTAAATACACAAGACTCCTCTCATGCAAGTATGACACCACTGACAGGGGGTCACTCCAGAACTGTAGGGTCAAGGTTATGTGGTAGTGTTGTCTGAGATCCTGCCAGAGCGGACATTCCAGGAGAATGTGCATAATTGTGTGGGGAGCTCCCTGGCAGGATGGACAGGTGCCTGAGTCTGCTTGACCAATTCTGTTAGCGTAGGTATGTTTGTTGCAAAGGGTGGTGGCTGCAGCTCAGCTTGGCTAGGTGTACTCTCTCCCCTCTTGAGAGCTGGGTTTCTGTGCTGCGTATGTCTGGTGGTGGGTGTCCAAGGACTTCGTTGTTGCTGGCCAGCACCAGCATTCTCTGTGTCATAATTATGTGTTTTTTTTTGTGCTGGTGTTGCTTTGGATTGGGGGTAGGTTAGTACTGTGTTTAGTATGCTGGTGTAGTATCTATGTGGGGTTTGCACTGGTATTTGTCTGTGTTTACCAGGCCTGTGTGTATGGTCGTGCAGGTAGTGGCATGTGTTTTCTGTGTTGTTTATGGCTGCGGCTATGAACTGTGTTCATCTCATGTCAAGGGGTGCTTTTATGGGAAGTATTTTTGTTTCAGAATTATTAAAGTAGATCATATAGGAACCTATATAAAAACTTGTGTCAAAAACAATGCATATACGGTATTTGTTGTACTAAGTGTTCCAAAACATTTTATGATTAGTATTTGAGGTTAGTATGCATCATTAATTTATGCTGTTGTTTACAGGGGTGTATGTGTGCAAGAAATGCAGTAATGAATTATTCACAAGCAAAAATAAGTTTAGCCATGATTCTCCTTGGCCAGCTTTTAGTAGACCAGTACATGCGCAGTCTCTTCATAAACGGTCTGATGGGAAGCTGGCTTTCAAGGTCTGCTGTTGAATTGCATTATGGTATTCATTTTGTATTGTTTCTAAACTTCGAATTATCTCTTCTTACACATTCAGATGTTGTGAACATTTTGACTTCCAACTTTTACCTAGTAGTGAACTTGAACTAGGTATATACCTATATACTTATCTTGCATGTTTAGCTTCTTAGTTTGATTTCATTAGCCATCTTCTCATATTAACCATATGTGTATTTAGTAATAAAACATTTAACTAATGTTTTGCTACTACACAGTGCAGTTTCATTGGCCAGAAAGTTGTTTTTTTTTTCTGATAACCCATCTTTTCTTATATTTATTCATTGCAAGAAATGGCACTGTTTCTTCCTACTACCCATTAATTAAAAATATTTCACCATCTCTGAATCGCTTTATACTTTTTATTTTGCACACTTTTTAATATTAGCCCCTTTTACTGTTCCTGCTAATCTTACAGGTATTTATGTGTGCGTGGATTGTGGCAATCCTTTATTCTCAAGCCGAACTAAATACAGCCATGATACACCATGGCCTGCCTTCACTATGCCCATCAAGCCTGATTCTGTAACCAAAGTGCCTGAAGAAGGAAGACCGAGAGCACTAAAGGTAATTTCCCATCCAAATCATTTGAATTGACTATGCCTATCAATTTTAATTCACTGAGCTGACATGCTGTTTCATGATGTCAGGCTGTGTAATTTCTCTTGTAAAATGCTACAAGAAGGAAGACTTGTATCAGAGATTTCCCTTCATTATTATTACCTATATATAAGATGAAAAGTCATGAATTTTACTGAGTACACAGAGCATAATTATCCAAAACCAATAAATTAACTGATATAACTGAAGCTCCTAATGTTTCCAATTTTGAACAGAAATATCTCTGTGCTCATCAAATGTTTCCCTTGTAAATAAACATTCCATCAATCAAACCTTCTGAAACATTAGATAGCCTCCTGTGCATTAGTAATCTAATTAATCATAAAATTAGAACAAATTTTTGTGTGATCTAATGAATGAATAAAACTCATTTGTGTTGTGATGTTTATGCTTCTCATAATTTTATGTTAGCTGAAAGTTGTTTGCCTGATATTGTTCAATTTTAACAACAGTTGTGATTTAATTTTCATTGCAAAGAAGTGATCAATAAGAGCGACTTTTATGTGGTATTATTTCTTGAAAAGGCCTATCAAAAATATATTTCTCTAGGTGTCTTTATAGCCTATGCACTACATTTTGTTATTATTCGTTTTACTAGTCAAGCGCTACCATTTTCACCTAAAACATGCATTAAAGTGGATTATAATTATTTCTATATACCTACCATATTATGATTTCTAGATTCCGTATAAATTTATATATGCAGACTCATTAAGTGTAAGCACCTCCTACTAATTAATTGTAATTACCTCCTGACCAGGTATCCTGCGGCAAGTGTGGCTATGGCTTGGGTCATGAATTTCTCAAGGATGGTCCTGACGGAGTTGGCTCGCGCTTCTGAATATTCTCCAGCTCCCTCAAGTTCGTGCCCAAAGAAGGTCGGTTCTTTCACGTATTTCTATTTTGTTTAGGAGCATTAATTGAAACCTAAGAGCTTTATTTGCTGTTCATTTCTAATTCATGATTTTAATATTGTGTTTATTCAGTTCAATTTAATTGTTTTAATATTGTTTCTATTCAGTTCAATTTAATTGTTCATGTGCAGTTTCATTTCAGTAGGTACCTTTTATCATTGGCTGCTTGTTTGATTGTTTAGTCATAAATGACATTAAGAAAACAATCGTTGCAGTCTAACGGGGGAGGAGCTGATCGAACGTGATGTTTTTTTCTGAACTTGAGAAAAGTTACTTGTGTGAACTAGGATCTATAGTACCGTACGTCCTAGACTTAAGTTTCTTGAAACTTTAGCTGAAACTCTTCCAAGTAATATTATAGATTATTGTGAGTTATTTTTTGCAAACGATTATTCATCACAACTGACAGCAGTTATAAGAAATCCTCATTGACTTGAATGATAGAATTTTTTTCGGTATTAATTGACCAGGCTAAAGGAAAATATTTGTTGGTTAATCTTCTTAAATGTCAACTTGAACAATTTCCTGTACATTTTTATGACTGGCTGAATCTTCCGTGAATGAAATCTTTCTTAAATTAAATAGCAAATACGAATATTTTACTGAACATTTCTGCTGAAAACCTTTTCCCGACTTAAGTTGATAATTTGTACTATTTTCAATAGGCGAGGGAGTGGGATCTAAGGAAGCCTCTGACCCAGAGGCTACGTCCGTTAACTGAAAACCTGGGGGGAGCTGCCGTCGTAACTCCAAATGTTGCCTCTCATAGAATATAGACTAACTTTATCCAATATTCCGTAATATACACCACCATTGCCCTCATTTGATCTAATATTATAAAATAATAATATATACCTACCACTATGAAAATGTCGCAAGACATGGCAAAGCCTCAACACTCAGCAAGGAACAACTCTGTACACAAAATTATGCGAAAATTGCATCGATGTTCAGAGCATTATTAAATACTCAATAGTATAAAATTTATTGCAGTTATGACGTTTAATGACTGACTCCCAACAACTAACTCAATACCGACAAATTCTTTATGTTTATAGGAAACGAAAATTAATTCTGCCGGTTTTGTTTCAGTAGTTTCAAATATATTATTGATATATGACATTTCAGATTGGATTTTTATCTATCGATCTCTCTATAAAGTATAATTTAATTTTGTGATCTAACAACGTTGGAAGTGAGATTAAGTGATAGTTGAATTGTGATAATGGTTTACAAGATTGTTACTACTATTACTATACCTATATTGTATCACTTTTATCTCAAGAGGAGTTCAAAATCGGTCAATAGCCGATAAAGTTATTCACGTATTCTTAGATTCACGTATTCTTAGGCGTTTAGACAAGATAACCTTCACTACTAGTGTTACGAAGTGCATCTTGTCTTTCGTAACCCCTCTGGGGGGACTTCTGACGCGTGTCTGTGCGCGTCAGAAGTCGCTCCTAGGGGGATTGTCGCGCTCCTAGGGGGATTGTCCCTGAGCGCCCCACCGCTGAGCTCGCGGTATCTGACTGCGGGTCTCAGTTGTGGGGTTAAGTTATTATGTAGGTAGGATTCCTTGCAATAAGTTATTATGTAGGTAGGATTCCTTACATTTCCCTTCTCTGTTTCTCTCGTGCGGGCGGCCGACGTCCCGTGTAAGCGACCTCTTGTTCGAGTGTCTTAGTTTCTGTTGCTTTTCACCTGTCCCTCCTTGTCACTTCGTCTCTTTGAGATACTAACGCTGCTTCCTTCGAGCCAGCTTCAGCAGGCTGGACATCTGAGACCTTCCGCCCCTTGTGGGTGATGAATAATTGAGACCTTCCACCTCTATGGTGATGTTCATCTTGACTTTCGGTGCGAGATAGCTAAATAGCTGAAGCGCTAGCAAACATTTTGCCACTAAACTAAACTTGTCTTTCGTAATGTTATTCTTACCGCAATTGTGAGATTTGTCAAGAAATATTAGGCCCATATACGGTACTCATGAACTGTCGATTAGAGGCGTTTGTATTATCTAAGCAGTGAATATCCCGCATAAGAGTGACGTGCGTGACAGCGATATTTTCTTATTCTGCAAATATTGTTGAATGTTAATATTCTCGAAACAATCATGAACGTTGAGATTTTGTGTGAAAGCTAGTCGTTATTTAGGAGTAAGACTAGCTGTTTTACCATGCGTTCAATACGCTAATCATTTGAAGACCTGCACATTCAAATAGATCAAATCAAGGTACCTACATAGAGCGCTGTAACTATATCTTCGTAGCGTCCTTATTTCGGTGCTGCAAATACGATGCGGCCGAGGGAAACCTGTTCGGCCTCAGCTGCTGACACCCCTGGGCTGGCAGCACCGGTAGTGAGGACGCCCTTAGTTATGGGCATGAGCTGGGCAGCGCTACTTTGAAATGTAGCGGCCGCTACCGCCACCGCTACATGCTCTAAATGTAGCGGGCGCTACCGCTACAATTGATTAAATGTAGCGCCGCTATCGCTACTGAAAATGTAGCGCGCTACTGACCACCTCTGGGTACGTGGTACCTTGAGATGACAGTTGTCCTGCCCCCCAACGCAGGCTCGTGGTGTGGGCCGAGTATCTGTTGTTGGTCCCTTAGTGGCGCTTGTTTCTAACTCGGAGATTAGATGAAGCCATCGATGTTATTTTACTGATATTTTTATGATAACACAGGACCCATGACTTGTAATAATTATAATTTTTTAGCCTGGAGTAATCGAGAACGAAATAAAATTTAAACCACCAACCTGCATGTCCAACTTAATTCAGCTCATGAATTATGACGGCTAATATTTCTTACGCTAATGTGCAGAGTAAATATATTAAAATGTCAGGCTCGTCTTTTTCTCAGGTGATGAAGTCTATTCTTGCCGTCGTAACACAGGTGCCTTAATAGTTTCCTTTGAGAATACCTCGTGAAAACCAAAGTTGATGCTTACATTTCGTCTTTGTTTTACTCTCCTTATACGCTGTCACTGCAGTATGCTTTATTCATTTAAGGTGAACCAGTCGTTATCTTAGTCAAGCAACTCGCTTCCAGAAGTTGACTTCGTTATGTTTTTGCATGTGAAATCTAAAAAGTCATTAGTTCGGATGTGGCGGTGGAATTGAAACTACTTGACGCTTTCGCGAAAGTTGTCGTTCTGCAAACCAGCATTCACGTTGAAAGATACGGTTTATATAATTTCTTGTATCGATGTCTGTTGAGACTGTCTGTTGCAATCACGGATGTGTCAGTGACTCCTGCAAGTAATGAATCATTTTCAGCTCGAACGAAGAGTCATATGGTAATCTTTCTATTTAATTGATTTTCTGTAAAATTAAATCTTTATTTGGTATAATTGTTAGAACAACCTTGCGTCGTGAAATGCGTACCCAATAAATTTTACGCGTCTCTTGCAAACGCAGATTTTCTTCGGCATTTTCGCACTGAATGTTTTCCAGCAGAGCGGGAATACTTGTCAAAAATTCCGCTTAACAATTTTATAACTCATAATATATCTAATAAAAGCCTATAAATAATTCAGGCGATTGATGGCGCTTTGTAAATTTTCTTGGACAACTTAATATTCAAGGTCGTAAAAATCAGTGACCACGTTCTCGGAAATTATGTTAACTGTGCGTAAAGAATATATAGGGGCTAAGGGCATTGACATCGCGTTGTCTTATCAAATCTCGTGTACGTTGTACACGGAGACACTTGTTACTGCATCACCTTCACATGCATTCATTCAGAGAATTAATTTTTTTAAGGAACCGAGTGTTTTTATTCTGTTTGATGAGTGACAATTTATATATTTACATTATGTTGTCGTATCTATTTAAAGGTAACGTATTCGCCGAAGCTGGTATTCAACAACGGAATGACGTAGCATTAGAATGTCGTTAAACATCGTTCGACTCCCATGCTGATAGTGATTAGTTCTGCACCCTCGGTCATTGACTTTTGGCTAAAGGCATTGTCTATTTGTCATGAATTTTTTCATCACGCGCCATAGGTTCACTTACATTATGGCATTAATAAAAAGTGAGAAGGTACATACACTCTCCTTCCCATGTCAGTCAGTGTTTTTCTTTTTAACTAACATAGCTATTTTTTGCAGTTGACATTTCTTTATGAAATCATCAAATTATAATGAAAACTGAAAACCCTATCCAGAGTCCCGGATAAATACTGCAGCAAATACAATCCATACATAACGTGCCTGGAACTTTTTTGGAATTGAGAAGTTGATTTTCGCTATCCTGCGACGTTTTTCACGTCTCGGTTGTTGCGACCAGCAAACCTGTTGTGTCACACAGTTAAATTTATTTAAATTATCTGTGAGCTCTGTGTGCTGTCCACATGTAATACAAACGCTAACGTAACTGCGCTCGTAATTATATAGTTTTCCTCACTCTTTTGTAATAAAAAGCGAAAATGAATTAATTACTTTAACAAAGAAAGAACAGCTATTCATGTTTTGTAGAGGCATGAAATCCCATCTTGGTTGTTGCCATCTGTCGCTTAAATTCAAATATTTTATCCAAAGCATCTCAAATGAGTTGACACCTTCAGTTGCTGCTCAAGTTTAAATGAAGAAAGTCACTCGTACGCCAAAATAATTGTTATGAAACCAAGAAATCGTTTTTTAATACTTAATATTTAACAAATAATCTCAGGTTCTGTCTTAGTTGCTCAATCATTTCTTGTAATCATTTTTAGTTTCTGATCTATATATAAAAGATATGACCACTGCACACATATGACTTATCACGTCGTATTCCTGCCTGATAGTTGCTACGTTATCTAGACCGTGAAATATTATTATCATTAGTTAGTTACTACGTTATCTATGACTGTAAAATTTTCATTATTCCTACCCTGGAAGGTAAATTAAATGGCTCAAGCTGCGCCAGACTAACTAGCTTCCTGTCTGTTCGGTCTTGAAACGACTAGCACCCTACGGGACTAGAAAAAGTAAAGTAATGAGATTAAATTAACGTCAGTTAACAAGACCTGGTCAAAACGCCAGTTCTTAAGATCTGTAGAAAAATCCCGAGCAGTGCAAAAATTGTCGATATGCTTTAACAGGCCAATTTCTTCAACTCCTAAGTTGCAATGCTATGCTAACTGACTGCACCAGTCTAAAAACAGAGTAGGTCAGAACAGCCTCTTCCTGCAACAGTCGAACAGCAGAGTCGCTCAGAGTAGCCACTAAATGCAGCAGTATAATAGCAGAGTCTATGATAATATCCTCTACCTGCTCCAGTCTAACAGCAGAGTTGGTAAATATAGCCTCTACTTGTTCCAGTCTCACTGCAGAGTCGGTAAGAATAGCCTCTACTGTTCCAGTCTACTTGGCCGAGTCCGAAGAATAGACTCGGCCTGTGTCATTCTTACCACAGAGTCGGTATGTATAGCCTCTATCTGCGCCAGTCTCACTGCAGAGTCGGTAAGAATAGCCTCTACCTGCGCCAGTCTCACTGCAGAGTCGGTAAGAATAGCCTCTACCTGCGCCAGTCTTACTGCAGAGTCGGTAAGAATAGCCTCTACCTGCGCCAGTCTTACTGCAGAGTCGGTAAGAATAGCCTCTACCCATCAGTCTGACTTTAGAGTCGGCCAGGTGTGGTCTTCCATTCCGCCGCGGTCGCCTGCATTGTGTCAGGACAGAACTTTCCCTTGTGATACTTGGTCTAGGCTGACTCGGCCGCGTCTGCATGAAGACCGGGGGCATTCAAACAAATAAAATGACTTGCGTTAGATGAAGAATACGTAATTATTCGTTATTCACGGAGTCGCACAGTCCCTTAACAGGAGATTTTTTCTCAATGGGGCATTACAGGACTACACGATTGTTTACCATTCAAGACGAGCGGTTAAAAGAGAAATTGAACCTGACTTGGAACTTAATGTGTACACGCAAGAGTTCAGGGCCGATGCCACCTATTTCTATCTCAGTGAATTACATACTCCATCATCATATCCAAAGCTATGAGGGAATAAATATATTAACATCAATAAATTCAGACCAATAGCGAAACATGCACTGATCAACATTCTCCGTCAAAAAAAATGCATTTTTATCAGCACAAATTTTTCGTACTCAGGCAGAACTTTGGATCAAACAGAATAACCGAGTAACGAAGTAATAGTGCATTCTTGTTATAACTAAGTAATTATAACTACTTGATTACATTCACTAGAGAAATTATTATTACCTTCAATTACCCATCGCATTGAACTATTTTAAATTTATCTTGAATTTATTGAATTTTGAAGTAACTGCGTTTTACATACTTCATTAGGGCTTATTTACTTCCAGACTCATGACGCTCCATGACAATTGGATCGTCGCATCCCCTTCCACTTACTTTACTTTGAGTGAACTCCGTCATTCTCAATGAAGATGTTTAGATAGCCAGCTGCAGGCCATTAATCTAGGTTAAATTACCATATTTTTATTGACTACCCTAATAAAGGTATGCGAACGCACCTACCGATTCATGAAAAATTAATATTTTTACGTGTTTACTGATGGGTAATTGGTTTCAGATTTAGACATTAACGTTTCATAATTCTGTCCGTCAATATTTCTGAGATCATTTTTTTATTAAAAAAATAACTAAATTATACTGCTCCCCCGACACTATTAGTACGAACATTTAAAGACCATTCCTGCATGGTAATAATCGTGTCACAAAAACTAAGTTTGAGTTGACGTGACATAGTGCGAGTCGAACGTCTATAAACGAACGAAGTCATATCACTTTCACGCCTTGAATGCGCAGTATTGTTAATTATAACTATTACGTAGCCGCATACATAACGCACACAAGCTTCGGGCTTTCTCCTCAGCGTAGGACTTCTTTTGGTGACTTCCTGGACCGCAATCCTGATCGTCAATCCTTCAGGTGAGAGTTCTTATGACATGGTACAATCTCACGTAACTATTTACTTGTAGCTAGCTTACAGGAGCAACAGAAGTATCAAAATTTGTTCTCATTTATTTTATTTTTATTTCATTTAGTTATTTAGTTTTTAGTTTTATTATTTAATACTTTTCCCAAAATTCAATATTCTGAAAAAATAACTCTTATTGTAATCAGTCATGTGTCCCCAATTACCGTAGATACTGCTTAAAAAATTAGATCAGTACTCATTGCAGTAAGTGACAGAGAGCGCATTTTCTTGTGCATAAACCAGTTTTCATTGCGATTAGTACAGTGGACGTGAAGTCACGGACGGACATGAAGACCACAGACGGACGGACGGACATGACGAGCACAATAGCGCCTTTTTCCATAAATGAGAAAATGCGCTAAAAATAGTAAAATCATTGACAATACTTCCTTATTCAATAGTTAACATCCTTTCCTGTAACTTTGCTCTAAAAACTGTATTTTGGTCTCACCATAGATTTCCAGTACAACAACTGTTCAACAAACCACGAGACGTTAATGTCGTCTGGAAAGTATAGGAAAGTAGGAATTTTTCACTCCATCTAAGAGGTTACCAGTGAATTAATCTGATATAATAATTATAACTGGTTCTAGATAGTTCTTATGCTGACTTTGCATTAACAGGCGTAGGTTGAATAGCAATAATAGATATCTATTTGAAACAGGAACTTATGCATGGCCCAGCATCATGCGTCTTATTACGCGGATAGAAAAACGTGGGCAACGAAACTCGAAGTTCTGCTCACACGCGTTCCGTAATGGCAGTCATTATTGTAGTCATATCTTGAGTCTGCTTCCATGCAAATTTTGCTTTCCTAAATTTTTTACCTGATTATGGAGCTGGTCTTTAAAATGTTTTTTGAGGAAAATGTGGTGAAATTAATCGTTTTTTTTTCTTCGATTTCAAATTCATGATATGGTAGTTTTAGAAGCACTTTATTTCATGCGTAATCTGACTGCTCTCTTATATAGCCGGTGTTGTCTATAGCTCTTCTAGTACGAATTCCTTAATTTGTGTGTTCAAAAGAGGTAATATTTTTCTACGGGAAACAATTGGCTTATCCGCATTTTGTATTATTTTATATCACCTGGCTAAAAAATTCCTGTAATGGCCCTTCGACCGAAAATGCACGTCCCTAATTACGCATTATATGCAAACACTTGGTCAAACGTACGTTTCATACTAGAAGCAGCAAGAATTCGAATTGATTTCAACTGGGAAACTTTCACTTGTAACGTATGAAAACGCTGATTTTAGACTCACTGAAACGTTCCTCAGAACTTCTCATCAGATTGTAGGTTTTTCAGTTGCTGAGAGTTCTTATTCAGTTCATTGCGCAAGTACGCTAACTTTCCTCGTTGATATGCTTGTGCCTTCCAGAAAAACTTTGCATTTGAATGAAATGTTAAAGGTATATATGCTTTCTGTAACCCGTTTTTAATGCGTGAAGAACGCATTTTTTAATGCGTGAAGAATAAATAAATTATATTAGTGTATAGGTTATACAGTACGTGGGAAAGCAGGAAATAATTTGAGCTTTTCCATTTAGATGGGAATGTTGCAGCTGCGGTGACAGTGCAAGCTCGTCTGTACGAATGATTAGCACGAGTTGTTAGCCTGTCTCACGTGTGGTGACCGATCAAATTAACGGATTTTTATCAGTTATGTGAGGTGTTTGTGTTTATGATTTATATGCATTGCGATCTACATCACACTAAAAGAAAGAGTCATCACACTCACTGTCCATAAAGCGATGCACTTTTGCGCTTGTGTGAGTCATCCTTGCTCAGCTTTACCCTGCAAATTAAAAGGCATATCAGTGCTTAGAGCAGGAATTACATCGCTGTCCGGACTACATGACCCATGAAATTTTCTAACTGCAGTAACACTGCATTCGTTTTTCACTCAGGATTATTACTAATTAAAGTTTCCTTTCATTTTATTTTTAAACTCGTTAAGAGGTTCTTACCAGTCGAATGATATTCCCTTTCAATTTGAAGGTTAATGAAATTAATAAAGGTATACATGCCAACAGTGGTTATTAAAGTATTTATGATTATAGAAGATATCAATCATTTGAATGCTTGTCGAGTAAGCGTTCAGTACATTTGAATTTTTTATGCAAGAAAATCTATGACATGTTGCAGGTTTTAAATCGAACACAACCATTGTTGAAAAAATTGACTGCTTCTAAAACTTATCCTTCACGTGACTTTGCTCTGAAGAAGAACTAATGCGCTCGTTAATAACTTGTTTCCTGGTGGGGAACTTTGATTTCTCAGCCATTCCTCCGAACGCCACGAACCTAAAGTTTCTTATGCAACTTTTTGAGTAACAGCTTCTGCAAGTTGGGACTTCCTGCTTTGTTCCACCGATCACTTGGTTTTCTCGAACTTGCTACTTTGATCCAGAAAGAGTGGGTATTAGAAATGTGTTACACGGCACCGAGGCGTCCTAATTTTCTGTACAAAAAAGTATAGATGAAATTTTGTATTAGGAGAAAAATAGGCAGTTATTCCGAATAATTAGGAAGCTGCTTAACTCTATCGTAAAAAATTAGTAGATTTTTTACGATATACATGCTTGAAAAATAAAATGCAGAAAGTTAAGAGTTTTTTTGAAAAATATAAAATTTTTGCCGACCATGAAGTTAAATAATTTTCTATCTTTCAGTTTTATGAATTTTCATGGCACTAAGTAACGACTTTCTATGACACTGAGTACCAAAAATTTCGGTGATTGTTTCAATGAATCTGAATTTTTCCCTGGGTAGCTCTGCAATCCAAGAGGCCTACGTGAGTTACCATTAAGATAACAACATCGCAACACGAGGGAAGATGATATTGAGACCCATCGTTATCTATTTTTCTGTCAAATCTATTTTTCCTGATTTTCATCGCCTGTTTATAATATGTTTAAGAGCCATTATCGTCTGGTTCACAACTACTGATACCGCGCCTCGGAAATCTAAGCATCATGTCATCAAATTATAAAAGATAACGAATACGACAATGGCGCGTATCAAATTCTATGTTCGCCTGACAAGGAAACAAGGGAACGATCGAGTGCCCTCCGACTTGAATGGATTACACTTACTTTGGCCCTTTTGAAATTAGTGGATAAGATGTGTCCGGCCTTTCTAGATTCGTGTTGTGTAAATTTTTCGAGCGAAATTTTCAGACATGTAGGATGCATATATCGCGTCATTTGGATGCGGAGTATAAGCGGCCACTGCAGGTAAAGCGTGCGCAGAGGAATATTGATATGAATTATATGTTCTCAAATTCGAGTAGTTCAATGTGTGTATTTCATCAATAATGTGTTTATAAATCTATTTTTTCGAGAGATACTCCTTTTTGGACATCGCATGTCTCATTTGTTATCATCTCAGGCGACCGTGAAAATAAATTGTATTAGTACACATGAGGAGACGTTTCCTGTCATTTAACAAAGATATTCCTATATGAGTTATAAATTATATAGTGTAGAACTAGGATGTGAATAGGAACAAACCGTTATAACGCGTTCGATGAGAGCACGACGTTGTTATCCCGATAGATGGTCCGGATGTTATCACAATGGCTGTCCTTGGTCATTGTTTTGCGGTCGCATCGCAACTTGTTTGGCAACGCAATAGCGGCTAAAGTTCGCCGCAACCTCGCATTTGTGGTCTCCTGGTAGTCAAATCTTAAATAGATTACATTAAAAACTAAAAATCCTTTATAAAGTTACCAAAGCTGAGCTGCCCTGCGGGAAAAAAGAAGCACGTTAACCAACTATAAATTCATTCACTGGAACAAAAAGTCTATTTACTAAGCTCATATTATATATATATTTCAAAAGAAAAAATATATATATTTATATTTTTTATGAAAATTTTAATTATATCTCAAGTAAATATTTATTTGGGTTAATGGGCACCTATTCAAACGTCGTACTGAGGAAAATGTTTTCCTGAACGAAAAATATCTTAATTGCTGCAGCGAATACAAAAATTACTTCCGTTCAAGTCGAACTGAATAAAGATAAATATATGTACCGCAGTTCGCTACGTTATATTGAATGCCAGTTTCGTATTGCGCGAGCAGTTAAACTCGGCAGCCCAAGCACAGGATCATCCAGAAGATGTCACCATTGTTACGCAAACAGAACTCTTTCACTTACTTTTCGTCTCTTGAGCAATATCACAATCCCTGCTTGTGCTTTCCATTGTTAGGAATGATTGCTATAATTTTTTGTGGGACTTTTAGTCGGTCAGACTTCCCTGTAGTTGAATTTACGAAGCGAATAGTTGACAAAGTTTATAGATTACATAAATACTGTACATGCATATATCGCGTATTATCGAGAGTAAGCATTAAGATAAACGTAGTGAATTACGAGTACATTACGTGAGCTATCATTTGCCTTCTTACCAACTCAAACTAAAAAGAGCTTTCAACTGATACCTTGCTGGATATCTTCGGAACTGTTTTTCGGTAGAATTCCTATAACTGCACATTTGACAAAAATTCCTATGACTGCACATTTGACAAAAACTTCTTTTGTGACAGACTCTTGTACGCTTTTCTCCTTTCCGTAGCCATCGAACATTCCTATAATATATATTGTTATACTGTTTTAACTAATCTACTTTGCAGCTTTCTGATGTTAAATTATTTAAATAAAAGTTTTACCGATTGAAAAACGCCCAAAGGAAGTTAATTAATTTATTACATTTCCCTTAGTCAATTGTTTCAACCAAGACGTCGTGACATTAAACCGCGGCTTACTGAAATTATCTTTGAAAAATTATTAATGACGGAGCCACACCCATTTTTCTACTCTTTCTAAAGAAAAAATGCGTTCACACGAGCTTGCCGGTCTACATAGTAGATTAAAATAATTCCATGTAGCGCGTCGCTACCGAATTTGGGACCACTTACCTTGTCACCGCCACTCTGGCTTCCTGACACTTTACTTCGAATCCAGTATTCAATATAGTCATATTTATTACAAATTGTTAAGTAACTTAATTAAGAAGAATCCGTACAACCAAATCCTATAAATTACAGTGCTAAAGAATGAAGGGAAATAGTATATTGCTTACGGTTGTTTAACATAGTCACCGCTGCAGCCCGCAATCATATGACGGACACGCTCGCCCCTGCCGCAACTTTCGCTGAAGGCGCGGCGAGACGAAGCCTCCATATAATCATGACCGCTGTGACGTGACCGTGTCGCATATACGCTGGTGCTCACAGCTATGTATACTGCATAGCTAGGTATACTGTATAGCTATGTATACTGCATAGCTAGGTATACTGATGCATAGCTATGTATACTGCATAGCTAGGTATACTGCATAGCTATGTATACTGCATAGCTAGGTATACTGCATAGCTATGTATACTGCATAGCTAGGTATACTGCATAGCTCTGTATACTGCATAGCTATGTATACTGCATAGCTATGTATACTGCATATATAGCTATGTATACTGCATAGCTATGTATACTGCATGACTTGGTATACTGCATAGCTAGGTATACTGCATATATAGCTATGTATACTGCATAGCTATTTATACTGCATAGCTATGTATACTGCATAGCTATTTATACTGCGTGGCTAGGTATACTGCATGACTAGGTATACTGCATAGCTATGTATACTGCATATATAGCTATGTATACTGCATAGCTATGTATACTGCGTGGTCAGGTATACTGCGTGGCCAGGTATACTGCATGGCTAGGTATACTGCATAGCTATGTATACTTTATTGCTGTATATACTGCATAATTATGTATACTGTATAGCTATGTATACTGTATGGCTGTGTATACTGCATAGCTATGTATACTGTATAGCTATGTATACTGTATGGCTGTGTATACTGCATAATTATGTATACTGCATAGCTATGTATACTGTATGGCTGTGTATACTGCATAATTATGTATACTGCATAGCTATAGTGTAGTTTGGCAGAAGCTGTTCTTTAATGCAGGTTTCGTTGAAGACCAGAGAGTATTTCTTATTGACAATTTTCTTATTATTTTTCTCGATTCGGCGAATTAGGCTCTTGATAGGAAGTGAAAATCCAAATATCAGGTTTCCAAGGGACATTTTATTATAATTTTACGACGTTTCGAATGCAACTTCATTCATTATCAAGTAGAGGACGAGTTTTGCAACAAGTGAATTTGAAATTTTGAAATGACAATAGTACAAACATAGGGT